ACTCAAGAACACCATTTTCTCTTTCTAAACCGAACTTTAAAACAATGCATGGCTCATGAATCATGCTAGATCATGCAATGCAGCTAGATGAACCATAAGAATAAAAAGAGCAAATCAAGATTCTAACCTCAAAACACAGATCAAACGGCTCAAACTCTAAAGATCAAGCTTGGAAATCTACCTCTCGCCCAAGAACTCCTTCTTCCTCTTCCTAGAGTCTCTCTCTCTCTCTTCAAAGGCAAAGATTGACAAAATAATGTGTTTTCTCTACTGCCAACAGACTTAACCCTCTGTTGGGACACGTGGCGACGACTGGTTGGCTCTCCTTGAAAAGGTGACTGAATGACAAGACAAAAGGTATGACAAAGTGTATAAAACAAGCAAGGTGGTATGGGCATTCTGGCAAGGAGAAGATCTCGGGTTAAAACATCGGCTCTGGCAAAAGGGGTCCCAATGATCTCGGTCAGGATGGATAACGCATGGTCCAAATGTGCCACACCTTGGCCTAGATGTGCCACACCTCGAGCTAGGTTATACCGGTCCAGGACAAGACCACTAGGTGCAAGGATCAAGATCTAGAATGCCTAGGTGGTAACATCTCGGCCTAGATGACATCTCGGCCAAGACGCCAGGGTGGAAGGGGAGGTCAACCAAAGTGGTTCCAAGATAGTACTAAGCGTAAGAGGTTCAAAGGTGCGACCTAGGCTTAGGACCACCTCGGCTACACACGCCAAGTAAGAAACAAAACATGCAAGCAATGCACAAGCAAAATCACATAAGTACAAGACAAGGCAGGGACCTTACTTAAAGCAAAACAAGTTCGAACCTACAATTGCAACTTAACAAAACAAAAACATACAGATGCACATGAACATGACTAAGACAAGGATGAGGGTCACTACAGTTGGTGAAGTATATGGGTGGTTCAAGTCACGCCATCACCCTAATTGAGAGGATTATTTTACTTCAAATGCAATTCTAAGTTAGAATTTAATGTACCTTGTTTGACAAAACTTATTTATCTATAGTGTAGTTTAGAACATATGGGAGTTGCAGCCTTACCTATATTTGATCTGTCTTATTGCTTATATATTTTTTGGCTTTGGTTGTTGGGGTAGTGTGTCTCACAGACTTTAGTTGTGCGAGTAGGGCTGATTTGTTCTGGATTGAGAATAGAAAGCAAAATATACATGTTTTGTGTGAAGAGAGTCAAACTATAGTTAGGGTACAACTCGGGCAAGCTCAATTAGAACAATCCAAGTTTTAACTCATAAAATTTTAGGGGCTTAGTTAGGTTAATTCTAAATTTGATCCGGGCCTGGGCTTGAATTTGCTAATTCAAATTTTATTTGGTCATGGTCTGGCTTGAAGTCAGATTTGAGCTGTGCTTGGGTTGACCCTAAACCTGATGAAATCAGTGCGAGATGCAACCTTAATGTAGAGTTTGGAGAGAACATGCTTTGAAAAAAAGAAGAGATATAGGAACATTTGATCTGTCATTATTTATGTACATTTTTGCTTTTATTATTGGAGTAGTCTGTCTCACAGCTGCTATTGACTTGACTTTTGCAATTAAGCTTTCATTAAAAGCTCTTAAAATTTTAAAAGAATTATATGAAATGATTGCTATTTATTTTATTTGTTTTTGAACTTTGGCAATGCTAAATTTTAGTCGCTTTCATTTTTGATGAGCATAGACTATGTGAAGCATCTGTAGCTAGTGAATGTTTATGTCATTGAGGTGTAGCTATGCACCGACACCCATGGATTTGTTGGGTCGGCACCATCTCTGTGGTCCTGTTTAATGCAGCTTTGAAGCTAACTTCTTTTTGTTTTCTTTTTCTTTCTTTTTTTATATTTTTTTATTTTGAAAGTTTATAGATTGTTTGGTGTAACTTCAATTTATAACTTTTGAGTAAAACGTAACTAAAAATAAGCTTAAAAAAATGTTGATTGTTTGAGAGCTAAAAGAAGGGTGTTTTTAGCTTTTTGTGTTTTTTAATTGTTAACTTTTAGATTGAGAAAAGTTACACCAAACAGGTCATATGTCTTTGCAGGTGACTAATGCATGCAATTTCTTAGGTTGCATTTGGATGTTAAATTTGTGGAGGAAAAGAAAAAAGAAAAGAAAAATGAGAAATGAAGTAGAAACTACTATCATTCTTTTTTATTTTTTCTTTTCCTTTCCCAAATCATTTAACAAATTTAAAATTCAAACATTCCTAATATTTTATCTATGACATGCATAATCTTATTTGGAGAAGGATCAATGCTCTCCTCTTTTAATCAAGTTGAATCTCAATATCAGATGGACTTGGTTTTTTTAGTATTTTTCTTTTGATTCTTCAATGGGAGAATAGCTTATATTGAAAGCAAGTCATCCCTATTGCCCAAGTGGACAAGTTAGAAATGGTGATAAAAAATCATGAGCTCCACCTTATGATAAATTTATTATTATTATTTTAATATAATTTACAAGTAAAGGGAGTTCGCATAAATATTGGCTAAGTTTTTGTCCATTTGCAAATTCTTCCAAAATGTTAGGATTTCTCTTGACTTCTTCTAGTTGTTAGTTTAGAGTTCCTATTCTAGCTGCTAGCTTTTCAATTAAATATGCATCATTAAAAATTCAATTATTGTGTTTACGGTAAACGTTGGATAGCCAAGTGGAGCGAATAATCGTTGACAACAACTATTTTTTTATTTTTTTATTTAAAAAAAAAAAAAAGTTTTTAAGAAGTAAAATGAAAGTCTAATACTACTTATCGAGAAGCTTTGTCAATTATATTATGAAGAATGGAAAAATATGATTCAGATTTAATTAATGTATTATAAGATTTATTGATAAATATAAATCACACTGCTATTTATAGAAAAATTTTGGGTATTTATTATTGCTTCTAATAATTTCAATCAATTAAATTTTTTTTGTAACATTTGAAATAAGTGAGGTCATATACATTGGTTTATTTTTGTGAAAAATATTTTCTAATGAAATAATTTTTTTTTTTTAGAAGATGTTTCTATATTTGGTTACTATCAAAAAAATATGTACCAAAAATTGCATTGGTAGTGGTTAGTGGTAGGGTTTAACTTAGGCGGATTCGGTTGGATTGAAAGATTGTTCAAACTCAATTTAAGTTATGTTGAGACCTGTCTAGATCCACTCAGACCCGAATTGTAACCCGAGGTTTTGTATCCAAGCCTGATCCGAGTTAAACCCGAGTTGCCTGAATAGCCCGAATTGTAAATGAATTTCGATTTATTTATTTTTTTTGTAATTATATTATTAAATTATTAAAATTAAACGCTATTTACATTTTTTTTATATAAAAATTTATTAATATCATCAAAACAAAGAATTTGGAGTCTTTTGGAAACAATGGTAAAAAGTCAATTTTTTGACTTTTTTTGTTTTTTTAGTCAAAAAAGTCGGTTTTCTTACTCAAAACAACCCATTTTTTTGCCAAAAAAGCTAAAAAATTAAAAAGTCAGCTTTTTACCAAGTTCTCAAAACACCACTTTATATAATGTAATAGAGATGCCGCTATAGTAATCTTTATAATTTATGAGTAAAAATAAAAAAAAAAAAGTAAGATTTTATGTTATTTGTATATATAATATATATTCAATATGATTTAATAATCTAAATTACTTAAATATCATGTAATGACTAATAATTTATATGTATATTTATATTTTTATATATCTATATATTTATAATTCGAGTTTCGAGTTGCTCGGGTTGTTTGATGTTTTTGTCCAAGTTCGTTCAAATTTAATTCGAACTTCTGAATTTTTACCTAAATTTGTACTAAATTTGAAAATATCTTGTCAAAGTCTTTAAAAAATTCAGACTGGGCTCGGGTTGAGCCCGTCCAAATTACACTCCTAATTAGTGGGGTGGTTAAGATAAGGGAGCAGTCGCGAACTGGACGATGGAAGTAATGATGGAGTTCGTATTGTTATGATATTGATAAAATTTTAATTTAAAAAATATTTTTCATATTTTAAAATAAACATCTTAAATATAAAAAATAAAAATAAAAAAGTGAGAAATAGTTTTTAATAGATTTGGAGTCATTGTTGTGCTGCTTGCACAGTAGTGACGTTTACACGATTCATGGGAATTATTTCGAGCTTTATTTTGATATTCCGAACAATTCAATTTTTAATTAAAATCGAATAAAACATATTTATAAAAAATTAAGTTGATTGAATATTGATAGATTCTTCATCAATTTGTATTTGTATTCAATTTAATATTTACATATTTATATATACAGATGTGTTTTGATAAGTAATTATGAATATCTGATCAATTTGATTTTTTATAACTATGTTTTACTTAATATTTTTTTTTAAGAATGCACAGTTCGAATTATCAAAACAGAACTGAAAACTAGCCCCATGAATTGTACAACAGCCATTAGTATGTAAGTCCCATAGAATTGATTCCAATTTTTTTTAACTAAGGCCAAGTTTGGCATTATCCAAAAAAGTCAAAAAGTCACTATCCTATTTAAGTCACATCATCTTATTTAAGTCACATCACCCCTCTAACACATCACTTCAAACTCAATCCAAATCCAACTCATATTTCATAAAAAGTCAAAAAGTACACTTATTTAGTCTTACCAAACTTGACCTAAATATAATTATTTTTTATCTTTTATCTTTTATCATATCAAACATGTTGAAAAAAATTTAAAAATTATTTATTTGTGAAGATAAACATATGAGTAATATTAAAAATTATATGAAAATTTCATGTGATATTTATAAATAATTGAGGTGATATCCGTCCAAGTAAGTATCCAATTTCATTTTCATTATTCCATCGCGTCAAAGGTAACTCATTGGGCGTTTATTGCTCCAATTGAATTGTTCAATTCAAACTCAGCCCTCCCCTAGAATTCCTTAACCATAGTTAAAAGTCCACACGCTATTCATTCCTTAACCCAAAACACGGTTACTTCCATCGCTTTAACCCAACCCATCAGGTTAAGAACTTTCTCAACCGTTGACGCAAGATTCCCACTTCCCAAACAGATAGATATATATCACAACTTTGATACCTTGAGGTCCCAATTTCTCTCTCTCATCAAACATGGAGTACAGGACTCTAGAGATCAAGGTGTTATCAGCAAAAGATCTAAAGCAAGTTAACCTAATCGACAAGATGAGCGTGTACGTCGTCGTTTCGATCTCCGGCGACAAGAGGACGAAGCAGAGGACCTCCGTCGACAGAGACGGCCACACCCACCCCACCTGGAACGACCACCCCATGAAGTTCACCGTCGTTGACTCCGCCGCCGAGCGCCACCGCATCGCCGTCGTGTTCAAGCTCCGCTGCGAGCGCAACCTCGGCGACAAAGACATCGGAGAAGTCCACGTGCCGCTCAAGGACTTCATCGCCGACGCTGATGAAGGTAAGTTGCAGTTTTTGACGTATCAGGTTCGGACCCCGTCGGGGAAGCCGAAAGGCGAGCTCAATTTCTCGTATAAGTGGGGTGAGAAATTGGCTGCGCCTGCCCCTCCACCTTCATATGCTTCATATGAGGTGAAGGGTGGGGAACCGGTTACTGCGTATCCGGCTCCCATGGTGGGACCCAGTTCTGCTTACCCGCCACCGCCGTATGCGGGTGCAACTGGGTCTTATCCACCACCAGGAGGATATCCTCCTCCACCTGCATATGGTGGTGGAGCATATCCTCCTCCTCCTGTGGCGGGATATGGATATCCGCCGCCTCAATATGGTGGGTATCCCCCTCCCCCACAGGGTTATGGGTATCCACCGCCTCAGCAGCAAGGGTACGGGTACCCACCTCAACAGCAGCAGCAGCAGCGGCAGAATAAGAATGGGTTAGGGTTAGGATTGGGGGCCGGGTTGTTAGGTGGGGCCCTTGGTGGGCTTTTGATAGGCGATATGATTTCGGATGGTGGGTTCGACGGCGGGTTTGATGGTGGGTTTTGATTTTAAGATTAGGAATTTTAGTTTTTGGGTGATTTTGAACAATATATGACTGTGTTTTTAATGTTTTGATCGTTTTGTTAATGTATTTCACTTATGCTTTTGTTTAATTATTTGATGAAGTTAAATTCATTTCAAAATCAAAATGAAAATGAAAATGTCTTGTGGCGCCATGTTGTAATTGTAATCATGTATGAGTCCTTGTAAACACTGAATTTGAATCTCTGATATTCAAATTAATAAGACTTCTATTCATTCCCAACTTGTACTCATTCCCAACTTGGTTTATAATTTGTTTAATCTTTGACTATAATTATTTGATCAATCTGATAAGGACTTGTAAAAGGAAAAAGATGGATTAATTCATTGGAATGAAACCCATAGTAAGCTTCGTAAACCCAATTGTACTCTTCAATACACATCAGATTATAGAGATTATCTTGATAAGTTTTCTTTGCATATTTTTATAACTTTTTTCTATACATATTTGCAATATTGTTCCTCAATTAGTTTAGGGACATAGACACTGATCATAGCTGGAGCGAAGTATCTAAGTAAAACTTCATCTTTTATGGTGGGTTGTGGTCAAAATTATTTTATATGATTAATTATATGTGATGAATTTTGTGTTGGTAAAGTTGTTGAATTTTGATTGATGAGAGCAATACAATAGAAATATTTTGCCCTTAAGGAAAATTCTCCTGGTGCATTGCACACTAGAACATTTTCTCTTGCTTAAAAGTTATGCCATGACAAAAACATGTAAAACAAAACTAAACAAGAAAGTAAGGTAGCTAACCCAAAGTTTTGGAAATTATGAAACAAGGCTGTGGCATTTTTTTAGATGAAACTTAGTTGTCAGGACATGTCATCAATAAATGACCTTGTTTTAAACATCCACATGTCATCAAGACTTTGGGTACTAAAAGGAAGAACATTAAAAAATATAGTTAATTTACATTAAGATGATATCAACTATTAATAAATATCAATTTATCATTTAATCTAAAATGCATACGTTTAAATCTATCAGTATAAAATTTGGTAGAAATAAGAGACGAAAGTGAATCAATATTATATTTAAGAGATTTTAAAATTGTATAACATTTAAAATCTGTAACAATCAAGGAATTGGTCGTGTAATTTATTAAAAAAAAAAAAAATCCAATCAAAAGCAAATGAAAAGAGAAAATGAAACATATTTTTGTAGTGAAAATGAGTTTATCAAAGAATTAATGCCTTGGAGGAGATGGTGAACACTCCAAAAATTATTTTAAGACATTGAAACAAGTTAAAAAGTTTTTCGTTCCTTGCCTTTGGCATTCGTAGGCATGGATTGTAGTTTGGAGAAAGAACAACCATCTATACTATATATTAATTAAAAAGGGTTTTTAACCTCAAGGCCTATCCCAATCTGAATTTTTTAATTTTTTTTTTTTTGAAGAAAAACTCAGCATTTATTGATTTGGTTAAAATCTCCTCATCAGCATTTATTAACTTCTTTTAATCCACATGTCTTTCTATATGCCTGCATTTATTGATTTGGTCAAAATCTCTTTATTAGCATTTAAAATCCCCTCAAACAAATAATTATAAATACAATCTGTGTATAGTTACTACAGTATCCTTTTCAACTTTTCCTATACACTATGGTTAGTGATAAGATTGTTAAATTATTTTTATAAAAAATCTTAAAAAATATAATTTATATATTAAAAAAAATCTAAAATAAATATAAATATATAAAATTATCCCGTGCATAGCACGAGTGATAGGCTAGTAATCTTTTAATTTAAATCATTATTAAAATATGGTAAAAAAACCACAACTTTTATTGCTTTTACATAAAAGTTTGGTTAAATTAATCAATCAAATCCTTTACATCCAATAAAAATCTGAGTTGTGCTAGTTGTACCGAAATAATTTACAAAATGGTTAGAGAAATAGAATGGTGACTTATATGTGGGTTTCATTTTTTATCTTTATTCTGTAATTTATTTGTCTAAATTTATTTTATGATTCATAGGAAGTAACACTCGCAATAGCATGACTCGGACCTAAATATCGTGCCTTATATGGGAGTGCATTATCCATCTCTCTTCCATGATCCATTTAATGAAATATTTATATGCAACTGAATTTTTTTTGTTTGGTGCAATTTTTTACAAATTATAATTTGATAATCAGAAAGTATAAATAAAAACATTCATCATTTGACATATGAAATATAAGAAGTTTTTTGTTTTTTGTTTTTGTTTTCTGTTTTTCTAGGACTTGTTTGATACAATTTCTTGGAAGCTAAAAGTTGATAATAGTTTACCTTAAAATAAATAAAAATGAATAAATAAAAAAAGAAGTTGATAATAAATATTAAAATATTCCTCATCTGCTTGTCAAAAATCATTTGTTTTTCAATTTATTAAAGTTATTTTTTTTTCTCATAAGCTACCAACGAAAATTGTATTACATATTATGATATAAATTAGTAAAATAAAAATAAAAAAAAAAGACTAAACATCTGGAACAAACTATACCTAAAAATTTAGCTCCAATAATGAGAATGCCCAATAAGACCTCCAACACTACTAACCTCCGTATACAAGACTTATTCAAACTTTGGTGACATTGACACCCATGATTGATATTTTGGAGGATGACTAGTCTAGGTAGCTTCCAATCCACAAACTAATTGATCTAAGTCCAATTCTTTCATGATATTGATTTGATGAATTTTGGTTCACAAAATGAAATTTATAAGGGTGAGGTTTTTACCAATTTTAATTTTAAATTCGATCATCATATTTTGACTTAAGAGCTTTATTACAAATCCTGTTTTGATAATTCAAATCGTTTATTTTGTAAAACCTTTCGTGTTTATGAAAAAAATTAAATCAATTTGATAATCACAAGTTTTTACATTTTATCTTTTTTGTCTAAAAAAATGAATAACTTATTTTAAAAATACACTTGTTTTTCAATTTTCAGAATTAAATATGTGATAAAAATAAATAAATAAAAATTATGATTATATTGACCAAAATAACGATAGGGGTCGGATGGGTTAGTGACCCTTCTGGACCGCTTGTACAGATAAACTGGTTTTACATGGCCCAACTCCTATTATTTGTGAGAGAAAAAGAAGAAAAAAAAAAAAAAAAGATAAATTATAAATACATCACATGTCATATGAGATTTATTTAAAATATGAATTGTTCTTGTATTTTTAAAAATTATATTTCGTTCCTTGAAATTTTTAATTTCATAACAAATAACATATTTTATTGATGAATTATTAAGTCAATTAATAATTTTTAATCATGTCAGAAATTTATTTGAATTAATAATTCAGATAATTTTATCATTGTATTGTATACCAGTTAGGAATTTTATTTTTTTAATTAATTCTGTTAAATAAAAAAATTCTAATAAGAGAGTATTTGTAATTTTCTAAACTATATGGGAGAATCTATGTTTTAAATAAATCTCAAGGGGTATATTTATAATTTATCCATAAATTTAAGACTAAGCAATAGTATATTGGCCATGTTTAGTGGAGTTTTTTTTTAAAGTTAAAATTTGATAATCAGAGTTATCCTAACATTCAAATAATTAATTTTTTTTCAACTTATTTAAGTTATTTCTGCTTAATAAATTATAAACAGAAATTATACCAAACAATCTGACACA